AGTAATAATCCCTCTCTTGTAGGAATCCTTTTTACATGATTGCTGGCAGTAATCCAAGTCTACAATTACAAGATGTATAAAACCAGCCAAGCTACAGAACAAACCAACCAAGCTACAAGAAGGGCATTTCGTTGTGTCCTCATCTGCTCAAACATGCACAGTTTGGTTTTCTCTGAATCAGCTGATATAGATGGAAATGTTTCAATAATGACCAAAGATGCTCCACACCACCTTTTAGAGAACAGCAAAGGTAAAAACGAACACACTCACTGCTTCCACATACATGCCAGTCACTGCACTGCATAATCTGCAAGATTTACTATAATAACTGCTAAGAAAATATCACTCGTCGTCACCGGCTTGATCTTCAATATCAGGATACATGTATTTATTATCCTTGCAAGAATGGAAGTAGTCATCACATACAGAGCTGCATGGGACAAATGTTCCCAGAACAGTGTCCTTGACATGCTTATATACAAGAGAGGGTGTTACAGTCACAAGATGGAGGAATACCTGTTCAAAGCAGTATTCAATGTTTAGTTCAGATTAGCTAAGGCCTGCGTAAACAATAAACATGACAGTCATATGTCTATCTCCAAAGAGACTGAATCATCATGTTAATCGTTGTCACATATCATATGCCTAAAACAGTGTCCTGACACTCTTCTAGGTAATCATACATCCTGTTACGTACACAGCTACGTAGGGCCTTGTTATCATGTGCTACTCTGATATTGGAAGAGTACATTCAGTATTTTCCCAATAACACAATTACAAACCTAGCTGTTTATAAACAGCACATAGTAAAAAAGCCCCGGAGTAAATATACTACAACCTTGTAGTATGCGCTAACCCTAACCCTAACCCTAACCCTAACCCTAACCCTAACCCTAACCCTAACCCTAACCCTAACCCTAACCCTAACCCTAACCCTAACCCTAACCCTAACCCTAACCCTAACCCTAACCCCTAACTTGTTAATTTGGCCAAATGCTAATTTAGTTCAGAGCGTGTACAAGGCAGCTATTCATTAGTTTAGTCGAGGCTCAAAGACACATCAAGGCCTGATGAATGGAAGTGGAATCTCATTAGCCTGGGATGTTTCATGTAATGAATAAATGAGAATCTCACTGCATTCGTTTTTCAGTGTCGTCAGAGTAATAAGACGAAGTATTGTAACATTTTTGTGAGGAATTGGGATAATATTTTAGGTTGAAGCCGCTTGTTCAAATCTTTAAAAACTAGATGATTCCATTTCTCACTTTTGATGATTCCTAAAACAGCCTCACCCCGTTTCTGTAATGAGTTTTTTCGGCGGTGAAATTAGGATCTTTTGAGCAAATGATTCACATATTCCAGAAAGAGAAAAAGGTGGCCATCTGGACGAGCACTAGTTGGACTCTGCCACTGTCCGGCACTGTACATCAATGCTCTCTAAACCTGATGTAGAGGTGTCCCTCAGCAGTCCCACAGACAGGCCAAACAATGAGGGGCCATCCAAGTGTGACACACTCGTGTTTCGAGGGACAGGTGGCAGCGCTGCTTAGTCCTAAAGGCCTTCCTCAATTTCTACTTGTAACGTCAGCTCTAATTTAGTCCGCTCTCACTTGTGCCTGGCTGCTGTCTGTCACTGTCATCATCTAGGATTAGCCTTGAGTTATTGATGCCTGCTTAATTATTAAGAATAAACAGCCAAGTCTTTCGTAGTTTCTACGAACATCATTTGACATAATACTAGAAATTGAACCTCACGAAGCTGAAAATAAACTACCGCAAGGATTGTTCTTCATTTTGATTATTGGTTCTTTATCTGTAGCAATCCTTATCATCATTATCCTCATCATCAAAATCGTCCATTTTCAGTACAGTTAGCGCTGCTGTCATTACACACTTCACAATAATAGTATTGGTCTTAGTTAGCTAGATGTTTTGCCACCAATTCATGCATGTTTAATTGTCCTCAATGTGACAATACATGTATTTGTTTGTCGTCGCTGTACGATGTGCTGAGATGAGGTGACATTTTGGGGTCATGTTCCACAGTATGACCTCAAACGTCAGCATGTTTTTCAGACAAACATGGTCTCCTGCAAAGCTAGTCTGTATGGTATTTATCAGTTCTTTTTTTATATCTGCAGCCCTATAAAATGTATATTTTGTTGTTTGACAGCTAAATGGAACAAGACATACACAGTTGAGCAGTGTAATGTTTATGTTTTAGTCAAAAAAGAACCAGCACATCCAAATATACGACACACACTTTTGTCCATACTGCGCTTGGACTGACACAGATGTGCTTATGATTCCAGTTTGCAAAGTATTTTTTTACATTTCAAGATTACCTATATAAGACTTCACAGATCACGACTAAGCCTTAAATAAATGGAACAGGCAACTAAATGATCTTATTTATGATTAAGAACATAATGTGGTCTACTCAGAGTGAGCTGTGTGTGTGTGTGTGTGTGTGTGTGTGTGTGTGTGTGTGTGTGTGTGTGTGTGTGTGTGTGTGTGTGTGTGTGTGTGTGTGTGTGTGTGTGTGTGTGTGTGTGTGTGTGTGTGTGTGTGTGTGTGTGTGTGTGTGTGTGCGTGCATCTGTCCAGCTGTGCGGGGTTCAAACACTTGGCACAGCAGACAAAGAGCTGTGTGGTTGTTTGGAAACGTGCAGCACACACTAGACTAGAGAACTCTTGCCTTTTCCTTTCCAACTTTTTTCCAAAGGACTCTGTTATATTACCATACTGACTCAATTAAGGTACTTTAGTAGGTTATAATTAAGTTGGGAGTTTTCTCCTGGGCCAAGCCAGAGGAAGTCTTGCTGTACAAAGCCATGCAGTAAATTGAAGATGACTCTCAAGAAATATATTCTTTTTTTTATTTTGATGCTTTTTATAAGAGATCTGGTCTGTGCTCCCAGTGTTAAAAATAGTCTTCTCCCTCAGCTGATTCTGCGACTATTGTCAAGAGTGTAGGATTCTGCAGAGCCTCTGTGCGCTACAAAGAGCAGCTGCTGGGTCACTATGTCAGGCTGTTGGTAGCTTGCTTAAGGCAACAGCAATAGTAAAGTCTAGCTCTGTTTAAGACACGCTTTCAGGCACAAATCCAAGACATGCCGTTTGCACCAAGCTTATTTACCAGTTGTTTTTCGTTGATGTGGTCTATTTATGATTGTATGCACACATTATGGTTATTTTTGATTACCTATAACCCCAATAACAATAAGATACTTTCTCCTTTGTTATACGTAAAGGTTTCTTCCAGTAGAATCATAAAACTTTAAACACATTTACGCATATAAAAGATGCAAAGTTATTCAGCTTCATGTAACTGTTAAAAAGTCTATTACTATGAATAATGTAATAACTATTCTCTGCCTTCACCTCATGTTGCATTCCTTGCATATCTTAGACCCGTGCAGAGTTATCAAGGCACTTCCCAAATTAAATCATGCATGTTACACCATGTTACGCAACATGGAGAGAAAGCCACCTGGCACTCAAATTCAGTCAGAAATGTATTACATAAGCCACATTTGCCATTCCTACGATTTGACAGGTCTAATGTCCCCCTAAAGGATTTTAATATTGTGTATAAGAGGTAGAGTTTCCTCCTGACGAGCTGAAAACTGCCCATCCATCACTCCAAGGTCAGGTACCGTAAAAAAGGATAAGATAAGATGGACCTTTATTAATCCCCGTGGGGAAATTCAGTTGTACAAGCAGCAACAGGGTAAGTGTGAAAAACAGGACAGCACAGATTCACACAGATTAATAAAGTCAAAAATAAAATCAAGACATTTTTTTAAAATAATAATGATAATAATAATAATAATAATAATAATAGGAGGATAGGAGACGATCTCCCTGGAGTACATCGCTAAAAAGCACAGGTCATCGAGGTGCTGAGCCAGAACAACCACTCATTCGTTTTGCAGCATGGTCAGTGCAGGGCAAGCGTGTCAGAATATTCCCGTAGTTCAAAACTGTTAAAGGAGGAAACAGTCATTGTTGGGTTTTATTATGATATCACAAATTCAGCCTGGCATGGTCTTTTTTTATGAGAATCTTTTCTTACTCGCTGATCTAATCATGAATTACTCTCAGGGTTAGTGGTTCCGTTTTACATCAACTTTAGAAAATTGTACATTAGTTTGACTAGTAAAAAGGGGCCTTGATCATGTTTTTAACAATCACAAAGTAAACTAGTACACTTTGAAGACCGATGCTGTCATATACAGTCAAATGAGCCGGCTATATAACTAATGTGTTCTGGTAAACCGACCTTAATTACTTAATTGTTGTTTATAAACCATCCGTCAATATAGTATTGATTATTGTTCACTTAATATAGGCCAAGGCTAAATATAACCTCCTAAACGCAACACGGGTTCTACAGATTTGATGCAGTGTCTATTTATAGTCTGTGTATGACTGTGACCTCTGCTGCACAGGTGAAGTGTTACAATTACTCATTTGAGATGAGAAGTCCTTGTGAGCACATCCAATATATTTAGTTATTTCCTCAGAAATCAATGGTTATTTTTGTCTTTCACGGAACCATTTTCTAACTAAAGCTATCCTATTGATGTAATGGCATTATTCTTTATGTCCAGTTTTGTATAGAACATAACGCAGGGTGAAGTGTTTGCCTGTATGCTATGCAAAGCCATATGTGTCATCCTAGCTCAGTTCAACAATTTGACACCTTTAGAATTGATTAGAGTCACATAAAGAAAGTTGCTTGAATCATTTGTAAAAGCTACTATTCTTGATAATTGACACCCAAAAGATAAATGGAAATTAGATTGCCAAGTTCTGGCCCCTAAATTGTAAATCAAGTCAATCATATTGAGTGTGTGAACGATAACATTTAATAGAATCAGCCCAATTTGGTTCAGTCTTGCCCTTATCCTTGAAATGTACTTGTTTTTTTCAATGGAATGTAGGCTCTTTATTCCTTCAATACTTAACTAAAGCATTCCCTTTGTTCCTCTGCAGATGAGTCTCTCTTGGACTCCACACAACATCCTATGGGATTTCTTGGACATGTTCCAAGTTCAACAGGGTTCCAACCATTGGCCTTACCAGCCTCACATCACACTGCCTTTGAGAGCCCAGACTCACCTGGTACCCTGCCATCCATTTCTGAACCAAACCATGAAGTTAGAACTGGTGGAGTGTCACGTTTTTCATGGGGACGTGTTACTTCTGAGAAATCCTTCACAGCAAGTGACCTCATTGGAGAAGAACCACACCCTCTTTCCAGTCCCTCATTAAGCCCCTCGGAACCCGTATTGGGGTCTAGTTCGCAATTTGAATCACCAGCTAAACTCTCTTCGGACAGGAAGCTGGCCAGCACAAAGTCGGCCAAACAATCCTCCTCTCTCGCTCAGCCTCAGTCGAATATATCCACAGCGTCATTAAGCCCCTCTGCTCTCACAAGGTCGACACCACGTCAGCTCGGTCTTAATTCCAAGCAGAAAGAAACCTTCAGCAAGCAGCAGGATGGTCCATCAGAGCAAACACTGGAAATCATGACTTCATTTCCTGCTCAGCCTCTCGAGCCCCTTAAACTGGCCTTCCCTGACTTTGTGGCAGACGATAGTAAAATACTGGATGTGAACCAGCTGAGCCCCAGTAGTTCCCCCTTAGAGGAGAGCGGACCGACACGTGACATTAACACGCTACCCAACCCAGATGAGGTTCTGGCCCCCGGCTACAATGTGCCTTTCATCGCCCCACACCTTGCGTCTCCTTCATCTGAACCCACTGAGATCTCTCCGGAGGAATTCTACCCCACCAACACCATGGACTTCGACTGGGGGTCTGGGGACTACTTGGAGACGATGTCATACCTAAACGCAGATGGGGAGGACTACGCTCTGGTCACCAAGGTGCCCGCTGACTCGTATGATCTAGAGGACTACACAGAAAGCTATGACACATCGTTTCCTTCAAGAGTCGGCATATTTCCTTCGTCCTTGAATCCTCTTCACGTCTCACCATCGTCCAGCTTCACGACAGCGTACCATACCATTGTCCCATTTAAATCCATACATCCTTCTTCTTCGTCATCTACAATTCAAGACACACTGGACCCTACTCCTTCCGCAAACAGCGATATACCCGACGCATCGGACGTATATTGGGGCGATACTTTCACGATTCAACCGACAGATGTCCTGTTGCCCGACATGAACAGCTTGGAGTATTACACCACTCAGTTGACCAAGGAGAACAGTTCAGACGCGGGAGCTGAACACAAAGGGAACGTTACCGTGGTTTCCATCAGCCCTACAGAACTCACACCCAGAAGCAGCATCACCAATGATACCAAATTAACTGAGGATGAGTTCTCTGGTGACCTGTCAGGATTTGAGCCTCAAAATGACTCAACCCCAGCACCAACCACAGAGCAGAGTCCTCAGCTGGTCAATGCCTCTGAGCCGTTTCTAGATCCTTCCATAACCCCAAGCCACTTCTTTGATCCCTCTTTGGTCTGGGGTGGCGAGTCTACCACCGTTTGGCCTGCACAATCTCCAACTGTTGGCCTAACAGAATCCATGTTACCCAGTACAACGCCTCTGCTGCCAGATGATGTAATGTCTCCCTCCTCTCTGACAGATGTCCATTGGTTTGTTACAGAGCCGTACCCATCAGAAACCATTAACACCAGTTTTGTCTTAACTGCAACTATAGCCTTCTCCCCTGTTCCCACTGACCCTGCTGCCAACACTACAGAGGGTACAACAGAATTAACTCCCCAAGACTCTCCTTTTACAACCGAACAAACTCTCAACATCACGTTAGAGTCAACTGAACCCACACCCAATTTCACTTTGGTCCCTTCAGTCCTGTTGGGGGATCAGGGGGTGACTGAAAATGGAGTTGACATCACAGCCACAATGACCTTGATCTCAACTAGCAGTGAAGCTAATACAGTTTCTGCTGCACCCACGACCCCAACTGCCACCATTACTTCCCATCAAGCCTCGACTGGAGATCCTGCCACCACAGAAGCCTCAACCAGTGTCAACATCCCTTCTGTCACCACAAAGGCCCCAACTACAACACCAACATCTCGACAGTATCTCTGCAACCTCGAGAGGCCTGCTTATTTAGTTAAAATTGGTACGTTGGACTTTTAATTATGCTTTCTGTTATATTACAAAAATTGCATTTGTGTAATCCACATGTATGATGAGTCCAAATTGTTGCGGAAATCTGTTATTTGGATTTGAAATGTACATTTGTTATAAATTGTAATGGGATTGTACCATGCTTATGCTTTCTTCTAAAGGTTTCCCTTTCGGAGCCACAGTTGGATATGCCAAATCTCAAGTGAGAGACATACTGAAAGGGGAATTCAACAAGTCTGTAGAGCTGCAGGTAAATCTATTTTAAGAGAATATTTTAATTACATTTTAATATAATACCATGCAATATGTTAGTTTTTGTTCGTCAATTAAAAAAGACATGAAAAGCAACATAGGCAGATTATAATGTAAAAGAGATCATATTAGAAACTAAAATGCTTCTGGATTGACTGTGGAGTAAAGGCCCTAACATGTGTGTAAGTGTATGTGTGTGTACATTACAGCGGTGCAGTTGAACCACTAAGGCAGACCACTTCCTGAGTTTTTTTATCAGTGGTTCTGTGATAAACAAACCACAAGAGTAGTCACATCAAGATCCACAAGCACACAATGACCTCTCAAAAACATCAGCTGCTTATGTAACACATGTAGGTTGACTGAATGACTGACTGACTGATTTGTCTATGTAATTTTTTCTTGCTTTGTCTGTGGAGGTTGTGGACCCCCCACCAAAGTTTGTGTTTCGGGTGGTTTCTGGTCCTGTTGTGTACACAGCCATATCTGTCATCAACGCTCTGCGAAGGTCTGGGCGCCGCTTCCTGTCTGTGTCTCCCAACTGGGCAACACCAGACAGTAAATACCAAGTCCACACAGGTAAATTCTAACAAGCTGTCTTTAGTTGTCTGTTGTTTTTAAGCTTGAACTTGATCTAAACTCTCCTTTTCCCAACTCTGTGCAGTGCTGCAGTTTGTTCCTGCTCCCATAGATGTGCGCTACTGCAACTTCAGCGAAAGCATTGAGAAAGGCTTGACCATGGCCTTTGCAGAAATGCGGCGGCGCTCAAAGGAGTCAACCAACTTCACAGTGCACGTGAGTGAATATGCACCTTAATTAACCAGGGGCAGTTATTTATTTATATTTATTTATATTTATTTAATTTAAGCATTTCAATGTAAGATGTCACCACTCTAGCACAAAGAAATAGTGAAGTTTAAAAAAATGTAACCAAACTCCTGTTCACTCCCAGCGCTTATCTCAGCATATTATAATTTTGTAATTTTAACAATCTTAGCCAGGTCACTTAGAAAAAAGATTTTAAGTCTCAGTCTGTCACTAAATAGAATGACAAACTGTTACTAAAGCTTTTGGATTTAAGCAAGTTATTGGTTGCAAAAGCAAAAGAAAGCTAGTATATTGTGATCTGAATTATTTCGTTTGGTAAGAAAAGTAGCCCAATTATCATGCTCCCCATTGTATTTGCTGGTTCTCTCTATCTGTTCTCATCCTGATATCATGCCTAGAGCGCCTCAGTGGACTCCTTCCAACACAAAAGAGAGGCCTTTTCACCTTCAGACACTCGTTTTTTACAAGCTTTATCCACAACCTCAGTTTTTGGTCCCTACACAGATGTAATAACCACAGGCTAGGGTTCAGGCACCTTCAAACTCAGCTCTTTCTCTACTTTACATTTTCCACACCAGTGATTCTCAATCTTAGTATCACTCATCAACAAAACCCCATGATACTTCACTAGGATACTCATACTCTAAGGAGTTCATGCTCTAGTTGTTGAGTATTAAGGAAGCTTACTGTTTGCTAATAAAGAGCTTATTTGGCTATGTGGTTAGCTGGTTTCAATAGAGTTCTGGGTAATCACTGATGCCTGTGTTACCGTCTTTTATTTGGAATAATAATAATAAATGTAAGGATTAAATCAAGCTTTATTTGCAGGAGCTTGGAAATGTTTAATACAAATCTAGCAAACTGTACCCCAAAGCCACACTGCTCAATCTTCTATTCAAGTCTCCGATCACGGAAGCCAATCATTCCAAGATTGGGAACTTCATTCAAACTATTTTATGAGACAAATAAACTTCCAAGAGACTCACGCAGGATGGAAAATGTTTTGTACTTTCTGTTCAGTAATTGTTCGTCTGCTGAACGGTACATCTCCGTCTAATTGTGTTTCAGATCATAAACATCACCATGGCAGCTCCAAAAAATCAGGAACAGCGGCTAGTGAGGCAGCCGGTGGACATAACGTTCACTGTGCGCGTCTCCAGGGGTTACCTGATGGGGTCAGAGGTCAGTAATGCCCTGATGAAGCTCACAATGGTGGAATTCAGCTATTACATGGGCTTTCCTGTACTGCAGATTGCTGAGCGTGAGTACCTCAATGCAGTCTTTCTATATTTAAATTCCTTTCACTTCGTCATAAGTCACCGTTACTGTAATATCTCTTAAATCATTTTTGTTTTCCTAACAGCTTTCCATTATCCAGAGTTGAACACCAGCCACTTGCTTCGCTCCACCTGGGTTAGAACAGGTATCACGGTTTCACTTCTTGCCATAGTTAAAGTTATCTCATCTACTTTAACTTAAAGGCTCCTTGTGGTGATACTCTGAATGATCTCTGTGCTTAGTGCTCATTGGTGTGCTGGACCAGAAAGTGAGTGAGAGGACCTTCCAAGCCAACATGGAGCGCCGGGTGGCCATGCTCCTCGGAGAGGCAACGGGATTAATCAGACGCGTTAAGAGAGCCACCCTTATAGGCAACAGCAGTGTCCAGGTACTGTACAATTACATGTATTCAACACTGTACTTAGCGGTTGTATTCACAGTAGCATAGCCTTAGTAGACGATATAAAGCAAAATATAGCAAGCATCATCCGAAATGTAATTACTGTATTGTTTAGCCATTTAATATCAGTGTTTGGGGAGGAAAGGAAACCAGCGGAAATCATTTCACTTGAATAAAACATAACTAAGTCAAATATAAGAGATATTAAAGAGGCCCTTTTTATGCCTTTGGGGTTTTCACTTCCCTGTAGTGTGTTATAAAGGTTTTTGTGCATGTAAATAATCATCAAAGGCTAAAATCCCAAAGTTCCCTCCAGAGGGAGTTTCTCTCCCACACACTGAAACACATCCATTGGACTCCTTTATTTTTAACATAGTGACATCACTAGGTAACAATTGTATTGAAAAGCGCTCCATTACATTGTATGTGATCAGCTAAGGCAGGGGTGGCCAACCAGTCAGAGGTTAAGAGCCACATTTGTTCTATGTTACTGCAAAGAGCCACATCAAACACACAGTCACTGATACCGCTTGTTTCAGTTTTTAGTTTTCTGGAGACAAGATTTCAACCACGTCACTGATGCATTTTTGTGGCATTGGGATATCTTTTTTAAATCCTCTGGAGCAGAGAGAGGAGCTGTGTATTATTGTTATTGATTAATGCATCAGTGTTTCTTAGGGTCAAAAACACTAAACCCACAACTTAAGATGAAAGCGTTTAGTTTATTTCATAAAAGAGCACATGTTCAATGTGAAAAGTGACAGTAGTTATAGATTATTTGCAATTTGGTGCTATATATATATTTAAAAAAAAATGATATATATATATAACACCTTGAATTTCAGGGGGGGGGCACGGGGCTCCGTTGGCGTGGCTCCGTTGGCGGGGCTCCGTTGGCGGGGCTCCGTTGGCGGGGCTCCGTTGGCGGGGCTCCGTTGGCGGGGCTCCGTTGGCGGGGCTCCGTTGGCGGGGCTCCGTTGGCGGGCCGCAGCACCCCTCCAAGACAATGGTAGGGGAAACACTGGATAGGGTTTAATCAACGATAGGTTTTCCCCCCCTCAAAGGTGATTGGTTCACTGCATTGCAGGTATTATTGTGATTGGCTCTTGGGCCACATCAAAAGTAGACGCGCTGTCATCCTCTCATACTGACACCTGACACCACACATACACACGTAGGGAGAGCCGGGACGAAAGTAACACGGGACGAAAGTAACACAGGACCAAAGTAACGGAGCGATTTTATCCAAGCCCAAACAACTTTGACCGGCCAAATTACGTCAGAATTATCAGCATTCAATACTTAACAGACCTACTAAATATCAGGTTTAACTGTCAGGAGTAGCGTTGTCACGATACCAACATTTTTTTGGTTTCGATACCAAGTCAAGAATTGCGATTCCGATTATTTTTCTTAAAAAAAGTCTTAAATGTAATTATTGTGCTTTAGTTCACACCAGAACCATAACCATAACACACACTTTTAAACAATGAGAACAATAAATAAAATAAATGACAAAAATTCGTATTAAATCAAATTAATACATTTGGCCTCGTGGTGTCCGTAGGCTTGCCCTCACTGTCAGAGATATAGCTAAAATACATCAGAATTTCGCTTCTGGCGTCTTTTTTGTCAACAAGCCGAGGCGCAGCGGCAGTTGTACTCCCACTTGCAGCCATGCTTCTCGTTTTCTCACATGCTCTGGCAGCTAGCCCGTGGCCGAGAGAGGGGAGGGATTTAGAACGTGCTTGAGAGGGGCGGGACTGCAGGCACGGCTGCAGTGCAGGGAGTGGAAGCAGAGCGCTGAACACACACGGCTCGTATTAAAACGGCGCTTTCTCACCGGAATACTTTCCCCCGTCATTCTTAAAGTACCGATACTAATGAAACGGAGGAATCGTAACGTTTTTAACGGCAGGGTATCGCGGTACCTTTCAAGTATCGGTACACCGTGCAACACTAGTCAGGAGTCAGTGTCTCTCCCCCAAACTCACACATATAAAATTCGATATGAACTGAAGAGCCGCATGAAACTAGGCAAAGAGCCGCATGCGGCTCGAGAGCCGCGGGTTGGCCACCCCTGAGCTAAGGGATGGGACATCTCTAGACGGTTGACCAATCACAGCCCGCCAACTAACCAATCAGAGCAGACTGGGCTCTGGTTTCAGACAGAGGGTGAAAAGAGGTGCTGCAGCACAGGCAGTAAGAGAACAATAAAGAGCTTTTTGAACCCAAAAGCATGTAAACATGTCACAGTAAAGCAGGGGTGCCCAACCAGTCGATCGCGATCGACCGGTCGATCGCGGGGAGATTCCCAGTCGATCGCGAGATGTGTCTAAAAATAGAACAACAACATTCTGTTGTATCGTTAATTTCCTGTAACATAATCTTCCTGTCCAGAATAATGCACTTGAACGCATCAAAGCTTTGTGATTGGCCGGCGAGACCCCATGTGTCGGGGCGTGACTGGTGGGCATTGAGCAGTATTTCAGTGACGTTGTCCGTGGCAACAGGAGTGACAGTCCGCACACACACAAGACCGCAATTATGGCAGAAGCAAAAAAGCCCAAAATATATAATTCTCACTCCGAGTGGGAGGATGATTATTTTTGTATCTATTCCAATTCAAAGTCCATCTGTCTCATCTACAATGCGAGCGTGGCTTTATCGAAGAAGGGTAATTTAGGAGCGGCATTTCAAAACAGTGCACAAACGCTACGAGACGGAATTCCCTCCTAATTCTGCCCTACGCTCCAAAAGGGGAGGGGCCTGAAAGGACAGCTAAATGCACAGCAGTCCATTTTCACCAGGCCCAACAACAAGAGCAAGGCTGCTACCAGAGCATCTTATCGTGTCAGTCACGTTCTTGAGAAACACATGAAGTCTTTCAAAGATGGCGAAGTTGTGAAAGAAGCTTTCCTGGAGGCTGCCGACGCGCTTTTGGGGGACAGTAAAAATAACAGCATTTCAACAGGTTTTTGATATAATAAAAACTCAAGTTAGATACCGTTATTAATCAGCTGTAAGTTTTAGTTTGTTTGAATTTATTCATTATTTTACAAAATGGTATAAGAATGCAAACATTAAGATCTGTTCTGTTTAAATTGATTATAGTCTATTATCAATTCGGGTTAAGAAACTAGTGTTGCTTGCATCCTATTTTAAAGGCATTTATTTTTATAATCTACTAAAATGCAACAAAAAAAGGGTTTGATTCTATAAATGTTGTCTTTTTTATTGTGTAGCTTCAGATCTGAGTTGTCTTATTAGTAAGCCTCATTTATACTTTTGTAGCAACACTATTTTTATATAATGGCAAAGAAAGGGTTCAGAGTCTTTTCTTTTTTCCCTGTGTCATATGTGGCAGCACTGTTCAATGCTTCTTGAAAACATTACCCACTGTAGTGACGTGTGAATAAACTCCAACTCTGTATCAACAACACTGTTGTGTAACTTCAGTTAAATACTTGTATGTGTGTAGATTAGAAAGAGGTAAGATAAAGGATCTGCAGTATTTTATGAAGTATTAATCGTACGAAGGTCAGTTTTATACAAGTAGAAGTGTGTATTTACCTGGTAGTAGGCTGTCAGTAATGGCTACGCCTCTCTATTTGGACTGGTAGATCTCGGCAGACTGGCAACTTTAAAAGTAGCTCTCGGTTCAAAAAAGGTTGGGCACCCCTGCAGTAGAGGAACACAATACTAATATGCACCTGAAAATGAGGATAAGAGGGCCTATATCTCTATTTTAAATTATTGTCTGATTATTAGGAAACTAAGTGAAACAAGTACATAAGTCCACTCTTACAGGCAGGCTCAACACTAAACCCTACATTATTGTTGAGACAGTCAAGGTAGTGTCTTTTCTTTGGAAATGACACAATATAAATTCCTTGTTTAATGTTGTGCTCATTACACAAAACTCTCTTACAGGAAGTTTGTTAATGAATTACTCGCTAAATCTTGAAAAAGCTCCCTTCCTTGTGCCATTTATATCATCATGATTCCCTGATGCAAGCTCTCTCTGAGAACTGAGGGCTCATTATGTGAGCGCTGCAGCGTTTGAAACCTCCGAGCGCCCTACTGCTTTACTAATCAGTCACTAGCTTTTGTGGGTTCGCTCCGCACCTGCTCGGCTCATCTCTGAGGGGACAGGATAGGGCTCTGTCTCCATAGCAACAGCATCCCATTCATCACAGGGGCTGGCCCCTCGAAAGACCACAACCTCTCGAGCCCCTTGTTTCTTTCTCCTCTTCCTCGTTTCTCCGGTCCTGTTACTTGAGCTGCTAAGAGCAAATCAATTATTTATTCTATCTCTTTCTCCTTCTGTATCCTGCAGTTGTGATGATTAAGAGTTGTTGTTGTTGTTGTTGTTGTTGTTGTCGTCAGGGTAGATATTATGGAGGGGGAGATACAAAGACAGATGAGGGTAAAATATTTAGAAATAAAAAGAGCAAGTAAAGCCAAACACTGAGAGAGAGGAGACTTGTTTTGGTAAGCGAGAGATGCGTAGTTGAGCTGACCTCATGAAGTCTGAGCACTTAGGGTGGACTTCAAACAGGGGGGCTGTCAGAGTGATGAGGGTCAACCTTGGCTGAGTAGCTGCCTCACTCTTCCTGACCTTTTTGTCTCCTTAGTTGTTGTTTCCACAAAACAGCTGATCATTTCATGTAAAAGAGAGGATTTGTATTGGTAGTAAACCTTTACTGTGTGTCTTTGTGATAATATTAGATCTCACATTTTAGGCTTTGGCATCCTTTTCAAATCATATATTTCCCAGTGATGAATATGTATCAGAGAAACAATACTATGTGTTTGTTTTCTTTCTATCCTATTTTACATTTCAAAGACACTCATCTGTAAGTGTCTGTTGCATATAATGAGAGTTTTGGTGACGTAGACTGAACATGTGAAGAATCCTTTGTCTCACTCCATTGCGCACACACACACACACACACACACACACACACACACACACACACACACACACACACACACACACACACACACACACACACACACACACACACACACACACACACACACACACACACACACACACACACAGAATCATCTGACAGTATCAGTGTGGAGTTGTCACCTATGAGAATACCTTATGAGTCTGCAGATAAAAGAGGAGCTTGGATCATGGGTTGTTCAATAACACACACATCCCCGCTGCCGCCTTTCCACTCTAGTAACCATGCGTGGGCTGGATTAGTCCCTGGATGAGAGGGCCTGCCCGAGCGCTTTTTCTGTGTCAGCCCAGCCATGACCCGCGCTTTACTCTTTCCTGTAATGCAGACAGGAGACTGTGCTGCGCCTCAGGGCACCCAGAGGGAGACACCACACACACACACACACACACATACACACACACACACACACACACACACACACACACACACACACACACACACACACACACACACACCACACACACACACACACACACACACACACACACACACACACACACGTCAATGAATACTCAAACAGGGATACAGAACGCAGGCTGATATATCATGATTGTGCTTTTTTAATCATTTGTGTTTGTTTATTAGTGCATGCAGATGTTGTTTGTACATCCAAATAATAGCAGCACATCATGCAAAAGGATACAGACAAATACAATATGATATAAATAATACATTTGACTTATTTTGTCTGTACCTGAACGAAAAATAAATGGGCACTGTTTTTTCAAAGTAATTGTGTTTTTCCTTAGTCCTTCGTGTTAGATTGAATGAAATTATTTCCATCCATGTCAAATCTTGTGACTGATAGTTTGTATTTGTAAGTCAATGGGAGTCTGATTCTATTTTGTTGAATATAAGCTAAATGATAACAATAAAACACATCAGAGAACTGTCTTGTCTAGTTTATAATAGATTTAAACACAGGTATGGTTGCCAAATAGGAAATGCTGGTTATTGTCACAGAAAACAAAATTAACTTTAAAGTTTGCCCTTGTAAGTGAGTCGTCACACTCTCCATTACAAAGTCATATTTTTAATTGGAATAAGCACACTTGGGGCCTTCATCAGATATTCCATTGAGAGTGCAGTGCCTCATCTTTCATTACTGGAAGCTCTTTTCCAGTTGCTTGCTTGCAGCATGAATTGATCGTAAATGCTGCAGAGAGAAAATATTTACAGAGAATTGAGAATGAGAATTTTAAAGTTAAAACAAGTTGCACAAGTAATGTTAATAATTATAGATTTGAACTGAAGCTCAACTAGTCTGCACCTTGTTGTGGATGTATTAAGAAAAGATTAACCATGGGGGTAAAAGTGAATCAACAGACATATGAAGACCTTTAACTGAGGATTTAAAGCCTCTCCCTAAGCAATGTGAATAAGTAAAGATTTATTGAGTGTCCTTCAGACTTTTTCTACATCCGGATATGTTTATGTTTGGAAAATGACATAAGATGCCGTAATGTCTGCCAACAGTTTTAAAGAGTGGTGGAGTCACTAGTAGTCAGTAACCCTGATAATTGCCCCGTGTAAATGTATGGATGCCAAGTTACATAGCAACCTGGCATCCTTTCCACACACAAGACAATGTATCCTGAGGATTTTCTCCCACAAGAATCCACAATATACAGTGGACCTAAAGAAACTTTCCTGCATCATTTCACCAATTCATTCTTCTTGGTTTTTTATTATGGGAAACGGAATCACTTTGATCACTTACAGAAATATTCACACTCCAATATTATAATACAAACAACTCAGGAGCTGGTAACAGGGTTCAGAGATGGAATCAAGATTCAAAGGCTTCTTTGTCATATGCACGGTGTAGATCCTCCAACAATGCAGCATACATACTTAAGACATACAAAAGTGCAAAAATAGTGAGAACAAAATATAAATAGAATAGGATAAACAGTATATAAAATAGATGACTGCACAGTATTATAAATACTGTATACTTGGCCTTACATCTTGTTTGGTGTAAGACATTTGTTAAAAAAGATAATTGAAACTGTTATTGATTTAAAGGGATATGTACATCTTAAAAGAAAAAGAGGTAATTACACAAATGACACTACTTTCCTTCTCTTTCCCTTTCCCAGGTTGTTAGTGCGAGCCGGCTGGTGGGTGCGGACCATCCCTTGGAGATAGTGTACTTTGTGGAGGGTCCCAGTGGTGAGAGGATGCCTGCAGATCAAACAGCGGCCCTGCTCAACAGCCTGGACGTTCAAAGGGCCGCCATCGTCCTGGGATATCGCGTCCAGGGCATTTTGGCACAGCGTGAGTATTTCTTGCATAGTAGATAAAGGCCGTTCCAAGGCAGCAGGGCGATGTGGTGATTACCAAGATGCCCCTTGACATGGACAATCGAAATCAAGCTTCCATGTCTGCAAGCATCTTACTGCCACTTTCCTGTGTGCTGGTATGGAGTTCAAATAAAGTTTGTCAGATGTTGTTTTGCACTTTTTATGTAAATGACAAAGCCAATGGTCTTTTCAAGGACTAGTTGCACTTAACTGAGCTAAGGAGGAGTTTAAACAGAGGGATGCAATGAAAGAAAAAAAAGGATATATTTTTCACAAGCTCCTTATAAATGATAAACATGCTAACTGCTGGCTCCATGTGTTCCTCTGTGTGTGTATAGTCCCTTTTGAGCTAATTACCTCCCCCTGTACACGCTGTACCAAGAGGGATGAAGGCCTAATGAGAGCCCCTCCAGGGAGTCCTGTCCCTGTGCCTACTGTGTTCTTCTTTCCCAGGGGACCAAATGAGTGTTAATTAAAACTAATGAAGGTTGGCATTAATGCAGCACGCCAACAATACTGCATGTTTAGCTTCTGTTGTTTAGCTTAGCATTCCCAAGTTTGTTTACAGGCTTAAAGGCAACAAAGCCATATGCCTAAAGAATATTGAACCAATTAAAATGACTCACTGGTGCATATTTGGGTTGAATGCCATAAAACCCCTCCTTCCCTTCCTCCATCTCTTGATCTGTAGCCATGGAGAAGGTGGCATCCTCCCCCTCCGACGCTGAGAACACCAACACGTGGATCGTCATTGGCGTGGTGATTCCCCTCCTCGTGGTCATCGTCATCATTTCCATCCTGTATTGGAAACTGTGTCGCACAGACAAGCTGGAGTTCCAGCCAGACGCCATGACCTCCATCCAGCAGAGGCAGAAGGTAGAGTACCACCAGGGTCTGACCTCAGGCCTGACTTCATCCTCTCAGGGTTTCACATTTTTCGCTTTAAGTTCGTTCTTGAAATATGAAATTTGACAGTAATTGGCCCGTCAGTCCCTTGATGGATAACATCATCAGGGTTGCACTTAAGGTGTTACATAAGGTTAAAGGGGACCTATCATGCAAAATGCACTTTGTGATGTCTTTTATACATACATATGTGTCCCCGGTGCTTCGGGGAACTCACGCAGCGTCAGAAAATAAAACCCTCTCTCTTTTCCTCCGTACCCAAATCTTTTAAAAACGGGGGTACAACGAGCGGATACAGATTCCATCCGATCTGACGTCAAATCGGCAGCGGACCCACAGAAAGTTGCTATCAGAAACAATGCCTGACGTGTTTTCGACGTAATCTCGTCTTTGTTTACATTAGCAAGCCTCGCTAACGCTCAGAGCTAACCTGTACTAGAGAGCACATGTGTTTAAAAAGCAGGAAATAAAAAAAGAACTCACCTTGTGATAAACCCGCAAGAGAAAAAGCATTTGAGCTCCGTACTGTTTCAGAAATAATCCTTGACGTGGTTTAAACAGGATGGCGTTTTATCACAGCAGAATTTAACTTTATCTCCGGTAGAATTCTGATCAGGCATTAGCTCCGCCTCCTCTTCTTTTCTTTTTTTCAAGCTAAGGACCCAAGATCTGCGTTTCTCTAACAGGGGTTCAAAAGAGGGGTATGAGCAATATGAGGCATGGCTACAATGGCTGAACTGTTTGGTATTTTGAAAAAAAAACTTCACAGACATGTTTTGTATAGGTATGGCCCTACAATATACGTTTCAAATATAGCATGATAGGTCCACTTTAAGGTATGTAAACGGGAAAAACAGTTTCCCAAATATTACTGTGTTCAAAAAAGTTTTAAGGCAGCAGACAAAAAAAGCTAGGAAGAGGGAGCCATTTTTAAATTCCCATGAACAGCTTGTTAATGAGGTGTATCTGTCATTGCCATGAATGTGCTGCACAATCTGGACCTCATCATTCCTTCTTTTTGATAGGATGACTAAAATATGAATGAGAAGGAGACTTATTAGAGGACATGAGCTGATTTGAAGTCATGATGCTCGTGCATGTAATGGGTCTTGGCTGATCTTTTATTTGATCTCCAACGTTTTTGATGCTTTCTCACATACTGATTTTGTCAAAGCATCAACAACCCTGCCCTTCAGTTCCCCTTTGTCCTAATTTATTTTCAGTTTGTGATAGATACAAAACTTAACTTGAGATAGAATTGAAACCATTTGGCTGAGCAGGCGCTGTTTCCTGTCTTAGTATTTCCTCTCTCGTACTTTAAAGAATATGTCCTTTATGCCCTGAAGTGATTTAACACAAGAGAGACTTCCTCTTTTCTTTGAGGTCCCTCAAACTGAACCAAATGTTTCTATAAAATAATCAAATGACGACCTATATCCTTTTTGCTAAAAGCAAGTCTGTTAACTTTAAGAGAAACAGGGTCAAGTTTAGAACAGAATAGAGTGCCTTTATTTGTATTCACACATTGTGCCGAATGTGCCATGCAGCCTTTGAAACAGTGCATGTAACACTCCACAGATGCATGTAGGCTCAAACACAACACACACACAGTAATCAAAATACATGATAAAAAAATAGTAGTTAAAGAAGTAGCATGTGAATAAATAAATACATATTTAAATAAATAAATAATCCTGACAATTAATAGAACAAATTAAGTCAATAAAGCCCTTACTTCTGCTTTTAAATATATGATTGCCTCTATACAGTTATTGCACATTCCCTTTTATAATATGCAATAACTGGTTAGAAACAATATTATATTTCATATTGAATATACTAGAAAAGCAACCCCCAAACAAGGGGTTTTAAAAGCCCAGATTTCACGCAGTGTTCTTTTTTCTATGTAAACGAAAACAAATCTGCAAATTCCTAATGTATGGCGCAATACAAAGTAGCTTTTATTTTTGATTGAAACATTTATATCAAGATCAATGCATAGGTGTGTGACATCTCTACTGTGCTGCGCTGACCACCAACAATACCAGAGGGACTGTGGGACAGCAGTAACAGGAACCCATCCTGGGGAACAAACACCTGCATAGCTTTTTCTTAAAATATGTGTGTCATATGTTAGGCTGCAACCAGCCTACCTTTGACATGTTTGTGTGTTACTTCTGCTTCCTGACTCCTCTCATCGTTCTGTCTGGCTTTCATTTCCCTCCTCTTCATGTGGAGCTGAGCTTTGAACTTCACTCTGTACATTGGGTTAATGTGATGAATCTAATGTGCAGATGTAACATTTAACACAATCATCTGTCACTTAACACCGCTCCCCTTCTCTCAGTCTACTACCTCATTCGGAGAATCAAAGACCCCGCTTCACCACACTCTCCCTCCGAATAAAAAGGATATAGAGCTTAGTGAGGAGGAGGAAGAGTGGGAGTATGAGGACGAAGAAGAGGAGTATGAAGAAGAAGAGGAGGAGGAGGAGGAAGAGGTTAAAAGAGGGAAGGTACATAGCAGTGTCTGGTGCTTTAGAGAAGATGTAGAAGAGACCTAGTTTGTGTGTGTGTTTGCTGTCTGAGCAGCTGAAATGTTGTGCAGTTGTATAAAGAACAACACTAGCTAATAGTTAGCAGAGTCTTTACATATGTTTGAAATACAGACAAGCATCATCACTGGAAATATTGATGCTATCTACCATTGCTTCTGCTTAGACACCAGTAGCTCTCCCTAGACACACACTGAGTATGAGCACTAAGGAGGAAGAAGAGGAAGAAGAAGAAGAAGAAGAAGAAGAAGAAGAAGAAGAGGAAGAAGAGTGTGAGGAAGAAGAAGAGGAGGACGAGGGGGAAGAAGAAGAAGAAGAAGAAGAAGATGAGAAAAAGCCGCAATTGAAAACGAAAGCAGCAGATCAAAGAAGAGAAGAGAGCAAAGCAGTGCTAATGGAAACCGCAGAGACAAAGAAAAAAGAAGACAAAAGGAAAGTGTTAACTCAAGGGAGGAGAGTCCAGGACGAGGTATATTGTTCCGTAGTGCTAGATGCTAGTGCTTGTGTGCGTTGATAGACAATAGGATCCTGCTGTACCCGGTTATGATGTCGAGACAGAAAACCCCTTATTATACTGTGGATTTAGAAGTGGTGTGTTTATAGTATGTAGATCCTGAGCGATCACTGTGTTGTGGAGTAGTAATAATAGACATCATTTTGCATCTGTATACTGTTTGTTGGTTCTCTAATTTACTTTGAGACCTGAACCAAGCTGAGTACTGATTAGTGAGCGAGTGATATCGCTAGCTGTGTTGTTCTGCCAGAGTGGTCATTTTCAATTTAAGAGGCCCTTTTATGCTTTTGGGGGTTTTCCCTTTCCTGTAGTGTGTTATAAAGGTTTTCCTGCATGTAAATAGTCTGCATAGGCTAAAATCCCAAAGTTCCCTCCCCCTGCGTGAAACACCTCGATTGGACTCGTTTGTTTACTTCTGTAACATAGTGACATCACTACGTAACGTCACTTCGTAACACTTGCGCTTCTATTGGCTAATGGTCATGTTAATGTGATGCATCGAACGCTCTAACACATTGTACTTGATAGGCTTAGGGGCGGGACATCTCTAAGCGTTTGACCAATCACAACAGAGCCAGCCAGCTAACCAATCAGAGCAGACTGGGCTCTGGTTTCAGACAGAGGGTGACCTTTAAAGCACAGTTGAGGCACAAAATACAAATATGAACCTGAACATTTGCATAACATGTTCTCTTGAACAGCTTCTACTGCAGTGTTTTCAGCGCTTTACTTAAGACTTGCTTATATGCCGTAGAGAGCACAAACATAACACATTCACACAGTCTCTGTCCCCCTGCCAGGATTAGCAGTTTCATACTGGCAAGCTTCAACCTAGATTAGCAGTTGTATACCAACAAGTCTCTGCTAAACCAGACATTTTGCGTGAATAAACTCGAGTTTACGTCTAATTCAGAGCATTAACGGGAACACTTCACGTCACTCCTCTGCTCTCTGGTATACACATCTCAGTGTCACAAACTGCAAGCACACATACCGGGATCTGACATCCTCTGTGTACTCTATGGCTGTTGGAGTCCCGAGGGCTTTCCACTCTGATAGTCTCACTGATTCCATCGTCAGCCTTAATCCCCCCCCACCAACTCCATGGAGAGGAAGCAGCCCAGTGTTTCCCCCAGTGTTTCTCAATCCCTGTTTCTCAAGTTCTTTTTCTCTATTCATTAATGTCTTGTCCTTTCTGAGTCATCCAGTCTAATTGTGTACTCAAAACTTCATCTGAACCCGTATTTTCTTCATATTTGCTACAAAATATATATATATATTATACACAATTAACATATTGTCTGTATGGCAGTATATTAATACCTTTATATTTCCATTCCCTAATATTTCCTCTCGCTCTCCTTCTCCTCAGTTGCAAGCTCCCAGTGTGAAAGGCTTCGACTTTGCCAAGCTGCACCTTGGCCAGCAGAGTAAGGATGATGTCATGGTGATCCAGGAGGCGGTCCAGCCAGGGCCCGGCCCCGGACCCCTCCCCTTATGCTTTAAAGATGGCTTCAGTCCATCTGAAAACGGGGAGATCCCCACACCTTTATCCAAAGCCTCCACCAAGGCGTCACGCAGCAGCAGAAGGCGAGATAGGTCAGTGCTGCAGAGCGACTCAAAAACGGTCAAAACTAGTCCAAATAAATGTCTAGAAATAAGGACATTAAATGACTTCAGTTTATGTCTGAGTAGGTTGTGCTGTCATGGGTTACATGCGAAACAAAAGGGTAAAAAATAGTCTCTAAATAGGCATTACCAGCCTTTTATTGTGTAGTGCTTTCCCTTCTGGTCAAAAACTTGTTTTAATCAAAGAAATGTGTTTTGGTTTTAGTTCTCCACCGTATAAAGGTATTTATTTACACAGTTAACAGCTTCTTTTTTCACCCCATCACTCTGGTTTTCTACCTTCCTCAGTTGGGACACTCAGTCAAGCAGACAAAAAGCGTCTGACAGATCCTCAGATCAATTATTAATGCACCAGACATTAAGGGACCTTCATTTATTCCTGCAGACTGTCTATATCCCTTTCTACGGAAGAGGATTAGGGCCACATTAAAAACAATTTTGGGAGGATTTGAAAAAAAAATCATGTGGCCCTAATCCTCTTCCGTACATTTCAATATAGTCAATAAAGATACCTTTTTTTTTGTTGTCTGTATTTTTTTCCGGCCTATTTTTTTATATTTTAAACTGATTTACACATTCATACCCGGGTTTTAAGTGTTTGTAACTTTAGTTATAACCCTAATTGCATCGCTTAAGAGATGACACCAACTCAGTAGCATGGAAGGTATTGTTTAATGCATTTCTTAACTTAAGTTGCTATTAAAGTCCATTACAGTAATCTATTTTATGGTGAGGTTTAATAATGGTTGTTCCTCTTCTCTTGATAGCCAACCAGGACAAATGTTATAATTATCTCAGTGGAAACACTTTCCAGCATGCAGCACTACAAACTTAAAACCAAATGAGCATTTCCTAGAAGTCTCGTCTGCTTTTTTCTTTCTGAAAAAGCACTATTTACAATTATGCATGGTTATTTCCGCATGTTAGTGTATTCCCAGGCTTGTATTATTCATGTTACTATGTGTGTTTGTAGGATCTCTCCGTCTGACGGGGACTCGGTGGTAAGTGACCACTCCAGCGAGCGTGAATCGACAGAGGAGAACCTGAGAGCGCACGCCACGCCCAGCGACAGAAAGCAGACGCATAAGCTCCCCATCAATGTTTTAAATGGTAAGTAGTAGCCGTGGCAACACTCTCATCACTCCTCCAAACACAGAGAGCACACACAAGGGGGGGAAGGGGACGGAGGAAAGGATTGGGCGGACAAAAAGAGAGCAACTCAAGCTGGCCTGATTTGATTGACATGCGGGGCAAATAGAGGGCAGGGTCACTCTCTAAAGAGATGAAAACAAAAAATGACGCAGAGGGGAAAGTGCGGCGACGAGCCAAGCAATGACATCAAAATGACACAGGGGAACAGTGGGGGTAAAAACAACACTTGGTGGGAACTCTCGTTGGTGGTCAAAAGAAGTCCGAAAAGAGGAGGCAGAGAGGGATAGGCGGGGGAAACCCAGATGAAGTTACTCCATGTGACAGCTTGTTGATAGACTCAAGCCTGCGATGCCAGTCAGGGACTAGGAGCTTGAGCCGGAGGCAGTCAGGCACACAGACTCCAGCCTGACTCACTCACAGAGGAATGGTCTCTGTTTTGTTATTGATGAAGCTCCGCCCGGCGCTGTATATGCTCTGCCACAGTGTTCATAAGGAGGCTGTGCATGAGACACACTCAGTGGTATGTAATGTCTCTTCCTGTCAGTGGATCCGCGTGTTTCTGATCCTCCGAAGCAGCTCTTTCCCTTCCTTTCCCTTCTTTCTGATTAATGAACTTCACAAGACCAGAAGCTTTTATTAGCCGCAGAGAATCATCCTCCTAGATGACTCACTTGCCCCGTCCCTCTTTAGAACGTCTGCTTCTCCTCTTTTTTCTCTTCATTTGTTCAAGTTGAAACAGCTCTCATGGTGGGCAGACCTCAATTCATAAGGCTTTATGTTTATTGCTATAAACCACTTCTATCTCAGCTGCTTTTATTTGATCTCCTTCCCCTCTATAAAACTCTTTTGTTCCCTCTCTGCTGCGGTTTGCAGGCAAGAATAGAATTGGTAAGAGTTTGTCCTCTCTGTCTGTGTCCCTGCAGACCTCAGGCCTGACCTCCAGCAGCTGTGTCTGTGCTGTCTGTTTGTTTCTGTGCTAGATTCCTGCCTCACTATCCATCACTGTCTGCTCAGCTGTCCGTCACAGTGTAGAGACCAACTTCACCAACAAAGGGAAAGTCCTTGTTTGGAATGAGGTTTAGCTTTTCCAAATACTAATCAGTCTTCATTTCATTTCAACACCAGAAACATTTACTCTGCAGTAGTTGTCTGTGTTTAGTCCCCTGGTTTAAGTCCCCATTAGCATTCGGACTAACCGTGTTTCCTGAGATTTGACCTTTACTTTCTTGCTTCCTTCCTCAGGTCCTCCTCCTATGAATTGCACAAACGAGCAGCTGTCCTCGGCCACCATCTTTGAACACGTCGATCGGATGTCTCGCGCAGCAGATGCAAGCAGAAGACTCCCCAACAAAATCCAGCTCATCGCCATGCAGCCCATGGCCCTCCCCCCACTGCGCAGCCCCCCCATCAACGGCAAACTATCCGACCCAAACCAAATCAACAAAGAGGTTTGCTCTTCTTTTTTGGCATAAACTTATCTTGATGAAAGAATCCAAAAGTATAAACATTAACATTGTTATCGATGGTACTGAAGACACATGTTAAATAAACGTTAAACCAACAGACCCCTGAAAAGTAGGCAACACTGTCTTCTGGTCCTTCTAGAAGAAATTACATTATTTTGAACCCCAAATTGGCTCCTTGTGAAGTACAGATGAATCAAAGACTTCAATGACTGTCATCGGTTTGATAAATAAAACCTAATGGGAGCAGATGACAGCGCTACAAGTCCTTTAGAATATATCATTCCCTAAGTTACTGGTTGAAATGGACATAATATTATTCATCCTCTGATGCTGCTGTAGTTGTTGTGATTCTGTGTAATGTATGTATGCATGAACAATCGTCTAGCTGCTTGTTAAAGTCGTAACTCATCTACTATGAGTCTTAATTGTGCCTATTTTGAGAATGCGGTCTAAAGAGTTAATTGTGTCCTCAGATCCAGGTGGCACTGAGGCACAAGTCCGAAATTGAGCACCATCGTAACAAGATCCGTCTGCGTGCCAAGAGGAAGGGCCACTATGACTTCCCTACCATGGATGAATCCACGAATGGCCACGGAGATGCTAAGGACCAGGATCGCATCTATCAGAAAGCTCAGACCCAGATCGATAAGATCCTGGACCCTGATGCCCAGACGCCCTCCTTCTTCATGGACTCAAAGAGAAGGTTTGGCTCATGTCACTTATTTAGTTCTATGGTGGAAAAGTTGATCTGTTTTTATTGATTTGTAGGACATTTTACATCCGGCCTGGCTTTCATGTATGGAATAATACTCATACAATAGATTCATTAATATTTGTCCATTTATCTGTCAGTGGTCGAGGGAGGCGCTCGCCCAAACAGAGGATGAAGGAGCAGCTGATCGGAGGCATGATGGAGGCAGACAAAGACCACCTCATCTCTGAAGACAATGATGCTGTGTACAGGAAGTGTCCTGGAGTCAACAATGTGGCCTACATAGTGAGTAGAACAGGAACACTTGTGTTTTTTAATCAGATAATGAAGATGAAATAAAATATCATGTAAAATAAGTTTGACTAAAATGACGGAAGAGCAATAAAGGACAAAGGACTAAACTAAAAACTAGCTGAAAAATGTAAAGAAAAAACATTTAGATGAATAGAATGGACTAAAAGTTGACTAAAAGTGAAAAACTGCGTCAACATAATCTGGACTAAAACGAAGAATGGAAACGACCTAAATGTGACGTTAGCATTTTCCTCCAAAAAGGTATTACTGAGACGAAATATAAAATAGCTGCCAAAATGGACACTGCATGGGAATCACCGCATGTGTACCATCCTACACCAACCCTAGACCCCTCTAACTGTCCGCAAATGTGTGTGTTGCAGTCGGACCCTGACCAAGGCCCAGGCTCCCCTCACAGCAGCTCCTCCCCCACCGATGACGTGTTCCTCGGCCCTGCTTGCTCTCCACCGGGCCATGCCCCTCCCCCGCCCCCCTACATGCCTCCACAGCCCTCCATCGAGGAGGCGCGGCAGCAGATGCACTCCCTGCTGGACGATGCCTTCGCCCTGGTGTTGCCCACCTCTCAGGGCAGCACGGCAGGCATCACTCTGCCCGGAGTCAACAGCAACCCCCCCCTCTCCAGCCCCCCAGGCAGGGGCCCCAGACCGTGGGGTCCGTCCTACCAAGCTCATGGCCCTTTCCCTGGTGTAAGTTGGTCTCCCCCTGTAGAGTCTTACATCTACAGGATACTAACCATTCAGTCAACATGAAATAATACTGAGTTCCTGTAGCACTGAACCAAATGATGTGTTAGCACCAGAGATGTAGCTTATTTTTGCTAAATCAAGTGTTGGTGAACTGTTCTGTCACTTCTAGGGACAGACTTAGAGAAATAACCTCCCTGTTTAAACTTCGTATAGAAAAATAGAAAAAGACTTAATAGACACATCTAAAATCATCTGTATTCACTCTCCTTCCTTTCCCAAGGTTTGTTCAGCTCAGCATGAAGCCTATAGCTTCAACTTTAATCGTGTCCTCTTAGCAAACTAATCAGTTAAGTATTCCTCCATCTGTCACCCCCATGAAGCTGCGACCTTACAACCCCCGTCAGCTTTCTACAACTCCTAAGTCTCTTCAGGAATATACGCTCACTCTGCATTAGCCCCTCTCTCTGCAGGCTGCTTTCAAAGACCGTACAGTCATACAAACCGCTCTGAAGGCTGCTGGAATAATAAGCTCAGTGTTTGTATTTGTTTTTATTCTTTAACTGTCGTGATTATTGAAGAGAGCAAATCAGCACAACACAAGGGCCGGTTTATGCAGCGCTGCGGTTTGTTAGCACACTCAGCCTGGAGTCCATAATACTGCATGTGTGCCGCACTCTGTTAATAGTGTTTTATGTTTAAGCATATCCCCTGCTTTGGAATCTAAGCTAAGGAGTGGCTTAAAACTGAGCTCAAATGAAAATAGGATGTTCAGTGCCGTCAGGCATTACATTCTGAAGGTAAAAAATGATGAGTTTTTTTTAGAGATGGGAAAGTGTTATATTAGCTTTACGTAAAGGTTTAGGCCCATGACATCACAATAACTAGAGCAGTAAAACATTTGCAAAACCTTTAATGAAAAAACAGAAGTGGTTGAATGTAATGAGGTATATTTATTAGGTACAATTTTAAAGTGACTTGTACTTTACTTAAGTATTTTCATGTAATGCTACTTTATGCTAAGGTAATTACCAGCTCCAACTTCACAAGCTGTTGAGACATTAATGCACCAACAGTCACGGTCCCGTAATTTAATAAATATCATTATGTGCAACAAGTTGTTTTACTCTGAGTACTTTAGGTATATTTTGAACCCAATACTTTTGTACTTTTCAATTTGATATTGCTACTTTTACTCAAGCTTAAAATCGTAGTACTTCTTCCACCACAGAAAAACAGAAGTGTAGTATTTCATAGTTATGATGTTTAATAGTGATACAACAAAACACTTTTTTCAACTTACCAACCACTATGGTGGAAGTGCCTCATTTGCGTTAAAGAATTCCTTCTTTAATGCATTTCACAGCTTTCAACGTACTGTACATGAATCACTGCTCTGCCTCTGATGGTCCAACACCGTGTTCATCCCCAGGTGACACGTATAGTGAGAGACTTCACTTTACAGTGATCAGTGGAGCCGTAAAAAGCCTTTTGCAGGTTCACTGCTTTAAGATGCTATAAAAGGTCAGCTGAGAAGAAAAGAAGGATATCCAACAAGAGCATGCTTAGTAAAAACAACAATGTTTACTACAGTGTGTGAAAAGAACTCTCACTGCATTGCAGAAAACAAGCTCTCTTTGCTTTTATTGCAATATTTTGATCAGCTATATCTGGATACAGGATGCAACCTTCGATGTACATCCTTTTTGAATATTTTATGAGTTGATTGTATTCGAGAGCCACAAAGACCTTTTTCAGTTGTTGCCAATATTATTGTTACTGTCTCCTAAGCACTGTGTTTCTTCCCTTGTTTCCCCAGAGGTTCACTGATCTGTCCCCTCCTCCAATCCAAGGCCTGATATCCAGGTTAGTAGAGTGGAGCATGGAAATGGAGTATTCATGTATACATTAATAAATAATATGCTTATATGATGGTAAGTTCCTCCTTCACCAGAGGGATTCCTTATTGGTCAGAACAGACTGACTTTAAGCACTTCAGCCGGGGCAATGTTTTCCTCCCACTAAGTTGGGTCTCATGAATAGTGAAAGAGGAGTCATCTCTACTTTTATAGGATTAATAGATCAGGTACAAGCAGTGGTCCCTGAACTACCCCGAGACCCCATGTGGTCAAACTAATTATCACCTCCGGAAATGTGAGCACAGTGGAGCTGAAGTGTCATCAGCTGTCAGCCGCTCATGGTGGTAGATTGTGAGAAAGTTAAGACTCGTATCAGAGTCGAAATTCCGGTTATTGCCATGTACATACAGGGATTTTGCTTTGTGTGTAACCACATACAAACTGAAAGAGAAAATAAAGTCAAAAGCAAATATAGAAATGTTATGAAACTATTTTGAAACCAGAAGAATGTGTACAAGAAATGTGAATATACAAACAAGTAAAATAAGTATATAAAACACCTGAATCTCCCGACAGGGATCAATAAAGGTTGATCTTATCTTATATGACATAATACTGTAACATATTTACGTTTTAAGTGGAAGACCTTTTCAGATTTAAGGTTGTCTAGGGAGATGCATGAGCTAAGTGCAATGTTAAGTGATATTTTGTAATAGATGCGCTCAAAAACTTGTAAAATCCTGATGTTTGCATCAAATAGATCCGTCCTCTCTCTTTGGGACACATGTATTGTGCAATATCATCAAGTGTTAGTATGCTTCCACATAACTGTTCCTTCCTCTGGACAGGCTTTATTCATTTGGCAGTATGTGCTCAAATTTGAGTATTGTTTTTGTTATCAAATAAATACATTTCTCTGAGTAGCCTGAGTCGGACATGACGTGGCTGGTTCCATGTTGTTGAACAAAACTAGTGATGTTACGTATTGCGCCGAGGCTTCGGAGCGTGTGTCGAGTAATCCCCGAAGCTTTTTGTGAAGCATGAATCGAGGCTTGTATCGTTTTGGGCCAGTGACGTCATCGATGACAAATGAAGCCTCGCTGCCTGTCGATACCACGTGACTGCTTCAGGAAGCGATTCAGATCGGTTGAACCGTTGAACCACAACGCTCATAATACCCATGGATGTATAATAAGAACGATATTACCCCTCCTGTACCCGGGCCCGGTGACACGATGGAATTAAAAGAGCTCAAAACCTCACCTATATAGAGGTCGGAACATGTCATAAGTATAAATAGATACAAGCATAAATAAATGTAGGAAAAAAAACATAAATGAATAAATACAGGAATAAATATGTTACAGTGTTTTCAGGGAGATTTAGCGTGTGTGCTGTGGCTCAGCTGGAAAGCAGTTGACTCACGATCGCAGGGTTCCTGGTTCAATGACTCGTCAATACGTCTTTTTTGTTGTTTATAAAAGCTACAGCTAAATGAGATAATGTAGTTAATAAATGTATTCTTTGATATGGTTTAGCCTTTCTCAGGCTACAACATGGTTACCTTTATGAATATTAGTAAGGAATACAAATCCCTCTTTGCAATGTTTACCAGCCTCCTTAGGCTTTTCAATCACAATCATTCAACTGGAATAAAAACAATATTGTTAACATGAAAATATGATTTTATGTTCGTTGTTTAGAGTTATTCTAAGGCTTTACTCATTGGGAACTCGGTATGAGATAGAGCACACTGTTGAGATGTCCAATCTGCCTGTTTTACACACTTTGACCAACAGGGGGGTAATTAGACACAGGTGAGGGGGGGGAGGAGACAACACAGGGCACCAGGTGAACATAATCAGGAGTAACAGAAAGAACGGGAGGGGGAACACTTTTCAAAATAAAAGACATGTGCAATATACAAGCCAATGTGACGAAGTTACCTTCGTCACACAACATAAAGCCTGTTTACCAGCGGTGAACGTGCTGTCAGATTTAAAACTATTGATGTCAAACCCCAAGGAAACATTGAGCTTTATCGAGCAGTTTAAAACATTTGCTGCAATTATTCATTATCTATAATGTGTTACATTATTTTGAAGAATCTCAACAATTAAGAAAAGGTAAACACACATTTTAAAGTCTTTTTTAACCTCTGACATTAATCTATGACAGTGGAATACTTTAAGTTTCTGTACCTTTATACATACGTATTGCCTCTACTTGTGTTGAGTTAGACACAGGCTTTCCAGATCATGAAGTGTGAAATATGAAATTGAGACTGCAGCTGAGTAGAATCCCAATAAATCTGTCACAACACGTTTCATTAAATCACACACATATGTTCCTTGTTTTTCAGGCAGGGCCTTGGCTCCAGCTACCTGCCACCAGGAGACACAGCAGGGCAGTGTGAGCCGCTCCCCCCCGACAGCCTGTACTCCAGCAGGGGCCTCTACGCCGCCGAGCTGCCCTCATCTGCCAGACCCCGACCAGTGGGAGGGGGGTCCACAGGTACAGGTGGAAACTATAGGTTACTTACGTAACCCCAGTTCTCAGAGTAACATGTAGTGAGATGTCTCACTATGGGATGCGCCTCATCGCGGAGCAAACAGAAGCATCAATCTCATTACGCCAATCCTGATTGGCTGGTGATCTTGACGTCAGCGTCAGGGAATCCACCCCCTATAAGTAGCTTGCGCTACGTCGCATGCGTCATTCAAAATAAGCACCTCTTCTCGCTTCACCATAGCAAGGAGGGCCGTCTGGTGAGACATCTCACTACATGTTACTCTGAGAACTGGGGTTACGTAAGTAACCTATAGTTCTCATTCATAACACTCCGTTCGATGTCTCACTATGGGAAATTGTAGCTCCCGTATTGCCAGACGAGCTTATCTCGAAATTCACCAAACCAACCAGAACTTAACAGGTAGAGCTCTGACTCAACAAGATGCCCAGCACTGCTCGGGCCACACTAGGAGCAGAAACGTCTAGCCTGTAAAAGCGGACAAAAGTGAGCGGCGAGGACCAGCTCGCTGCTGCACAAATGTCTTGGATGGAAACACCCTTGAACAAAGCCCAGGATGTAGCCAGACCACGAGTCGAATAAGCACGCAGACCCGAAGGTGCCTGCAAACCCTGACTCGTATAGGCCAAAGCAATTGCCTCCACAATCCAGTGGGAGAGCCGTTGCTTAGCAACGGGCTTGCCCTTCTGAGGGTTAGCCCAGGACACAAAGAGTTGGTCATTATGACGAAACTCTTTTGATCTGTCCATATAGGTGCGTAAAGCACGGACTGGACACAGCAAATCCGGCTGCTGTTCCCCGGAGGAACACAGCGGCGGAGGAAATGCCTCAATGTCAATTGGGGTACATGAACCAACCACCTTAGGTATAAAGGCAGGGTTGGGCTTCAACAACACTCTCGTTTGCCCTGGGGCGAACTGAGTGCATGAAGGATGTACAGATAGCGCATGAATGTCACTGACTCGCTTGGCGGATGCCAGGGCGAGTAACAGCACTGTCTTGAGTGACAAGTGCTTCATGTCAGCTTCTTCAAGGGATTCAAATGGGGTTAGAGTGAGCCCATCTAAAACCACTGCCAAGTCCCATAAGGGCACCAGTGACCTGGAAACAGGGAGGAGCCTGTGAGCCCCTTTCATAAAACGGCAGACCAAAGGATGTTGGCTAGCCGTCTTTCCCTCAAAGCCCACATGGCATGCAGCAATAGCAGCCAGGTACACTTTGATCGTAGAGAAAGCTCTGTTTATCAATCAGGTCCTGTAGAAATGATAGAATCACCCCGACAGGACATTGAAAAGAGATGTGTTCTTTTTGAAGGCACCACTCCTCAAACACCCTCCACTTACAGTCATAGAGGGACCTGGTGGAGGAAGCTCTTGCACTCTGAATAGTGTTTATCACCTTCTGAGGGAGTCCCACTGTATTCAGATTGTACCACTCACGGGCCAGGCCCATAGTGCCAAGCGCTCTGGGTGTTGGTGAAAGATCGCCCCCCCCCCTGAGACAGTATGTCCCTGCGTAGTGGGAGCTGCCATGGCTGCCCGCACAGCAGCTGATATATCTCCGCCAGCCAGTACATTGCGGGCCAGTGCGGAGCTATCAGGATAAGTGTGTGGCGTTGTTCCCTCACTCTGGCCAGAGTTGGGGGTATCAGAGCCAGGGGTGGGAACGCGTACAGAAGGCCCGGAGGCCAAACGTGCGCGAGCGCGTCCACGCCTAACGGTGTGTTTAAATCGCGCATTGAAAAGAATAGCTGACATTGAGCATTTTCTTTTGATGCGAACAGATCTACCGCGGCTCTGCCGTAACGCACCCACAGCTGACTCACAATCCTTGGATGTAGAGTCCAGTCTGCATATAGTGGTATAACTCTGGACAGCAGATCTGCCCCGAGGTTCATCACTCCTGGTACGTGCGTCGCTCTCAGAGAGAGGAGACGTCTGCGGCTCCATAAGATCAGTTTGCATGCCAGCATGTGTAACTGGAGAGAACGCAAACCCCCTTGGCGGTTTATATACGATATTGTGGTCGTGTTGTCTGTCCTCACGAGGACATGATGTCCTCTGAGAAAAGGCAGAAAGCGTTTTAGGGTGAGGAACACCGCTAAAAGCTCCAGGTAATTTATGTGCGCCCGCTGGAGGTCTCTGCTCCAGAGACCCCTCACCGGACGACCTTCGTAAATACCTCCCCAGCCTGTCAGACATGCGTCCGTGGTGACCACCTACCGTGAAAGGACAGCACCCATAGGCACGCCCCGTACTAGAAAAGTCGGGTGCAGCCAGTGGCGCAGTGCCATTACGCATTTCACAGTAACCATTACTCTCCGCGCGCCATGACGCGCAGGGGTTTAGTTTTAGAGCGGCTACCCAGCGCTGAAACTCCCTCATGTGTAAGCGTCCCAGTCGTACGACCAGGATGGCTGACGCCATGAGCCCCATTAACCGCAGGCATGATCTGAAGAGAACATGTTTGCGCAGCTGGAAATGAGCGAGACAAGCTCTGAAAGCTTTCACTCTTTCTGCTGACAGGCGGGCTGTAAAGGGCACCGAGTTCAGGTGTAAACCCAGGAAGATTACAGTCTGTGCTGGGCACAACATGCTCTTCTCTGTGTTTATTATGAAACCCAGGTTGAGCAGGTGCTTTACGAGGACATTTGTCTGCGTAATAGCCTCCTGCTCCGACTGTGCGAGAAGCAGCCAGTCGTCTAGGTAGGTCGCCAGGCGAATACCCTGTTGTCTTAACGGGGCTATCGCGGCTTCCGTACATCGTACAAACACTCTTGGACTGAGAGACAGACCGAAGGGAAGTACTCTGTATTCGTAACAGATCCCCTGAAATGCGAACCTCAGATATTTCCTGTGTGGGTAATATACTGGGATGTGGAAATACGCATCTTTCAGGTCGACTGATGTAAACCAGTCGTTTTGTCACACGAGACGCAGCAGAGATGTGTGAGTGAGCATTCTGAATTTGTATCTTTTTAGATATTTGTTCAGAACCCTCAAATCTAGTATTGGCCGAATCCCGTTCCCTCCCCGTTTGGGAACGAGGAAATACTTGGAATAAAAGCCGCTCTGACTCTGCTCGGCGGGTACTATAGATATAGCCCTCTTTTCTAGAAGTGAGAGAATCTCTCTCTCCAGAATATGGGCTGACTCTCCTCGGGCTTGTGAATACAGAATGCCCGAGAAGCGAGGGGGGGTGACAGCGAATTGGAGTCTGTAGCCCCGTGTTACTGTCTTGAAAACCCAAGCAGATGTTGTGAGCATCTTCCACTGCATGCTCCTTAGAGCCAGTGGAGATGTCACGTCTCTTACCCTCTGAGTCTCTATTTGTTGTGTTATGGGCCCCTCTAGTGTCTGAACACGGTGGTACCCCATTTCGACAATCCCCACCGACACTGCGCATGCACGTGACGGTGGTGCCTTCACAACCCCAGCCGGCACTGCGCATGCGCGTGACGGTGGTGCCTTCACAGACCCGTCTATTATCTGCCTTTTGAGAGAGGCCGTAGCTGCTCTCAGAAGGGGAACAGTTGACGGACTGTTTATTGTTTTTATTGTTTTTCTTTTCATTTTTTTGAGCTGCGCCCTTGGCCTGAAGCCTGGATGCGTCAGCGAAAAACAATATTGTGACATGTGTTTTTGCGGACTTGAGGATGGCGTTGAGGCATCTCTCGAGGCAGCGGGAACACATCTAGAGCTGGGGATCCGTGGACTTCCAGCTCTGTCACAGAGGGGAGAAGGGGGGGCTGTCAGGCCGCCCGCTTCTTCTTCCTCGAGTGCTGGCCGAAATTCTGGGTTGGCTGCGCCTGGGCTGCAGCCGGAACCGGAGATTTTCTAGGCCAACTCGCCCTCGTCTCCTGCCTGGGCTGGGGACTCTGGGCGGGCTGCGACCTCTGCTGTTTTGGTACTTTGAACCGAGCAGAGTTCGAGGCAGCTTGGGCGAAGGACTGCCGCTGTGAAGGTAGCGGCTGGACCCTTCGAGGGAGACAGAGGTGGAGGGCCTCGTCCTCCTTCTTTTTCGACTCGCATCTCCTCTGCATGGAGGCGAGAGCGGAGCCGAAAATCCCCTCGGGAACGATGGGCATGTCTAGCACATCCTCCTTTTCCTGGTCTGGGAGGTTGGTGAGGTTGAGCCATCTAGCTCTTTCCTGCACCACCATGATCCCCATTGCCTTGCCCGTGGCCTGGACGGCGCAGCGTTGAACACGGAGACAAATGTCTGTGATCGCGGCCATCTCGTCCAGAACGGCCGGTCCAGGATTGCTTGACAGATCCTCGCAGAGCTCCGCTTGGTATGTGGTTAGCAGCGAGGAAACGTTCAAAGCCCTGGCGGACAACGCTGCGGCTCTGTAGGACCGTTCAGTCATGGTCGACTGGAATCGGTCAGCCTTCGCTGGCAGCGTGGGGTTCCTGCTTGGTGACGGGACCAGCCTCGGTAGGAGGTGGGCTGCCACCAGCGGTTCCATAGGCGGTATGCGGAGCAGGCCGAGCCTCTCCATACTGTCACAGTCTAGGGAGGAGGCACCCTGGATTGGGGCCTTGTTGCTAAAGGGCCGGTCTCTCCACGAGACCGACACCTCATCCAACATCTCCGGGAAGACCGGAAGGAGTTGCCTCTTTGTCCTCGTTGCTTGGGGAAAATGTTTCCCCTCGTAACGGGACCTGGAGGTCTCCTTGGCCATTTCGGGCCACGGGATGTCTAGTCTGGATGCGGCACGCTGACACACGGCACGCTGACACACGGGAGAGCAGCCATCGCTCCCGGCTTTGCAGCCTGAGCCGATGACACGAAGATATCGTCTTCTTGCTCATCCGAATCAGACAGGAGGAACTCAGAGGCACCCTCTTCGTCCTCCATATAGGGGCTCCGTTCTCGCGTCTCTTGCCGCCACCGGGTCCCAGCCTGACACGGCGCGGGACTCCGGTTCCGCAGCTGCCGCTGTTGATGAGCCCCAGACCGACACATTGCGGGGCTCAATCTCTGCGGCGGACGCCCCCGCGTCTTGATTGCCAGCCGGCAAATCAGCGGACATGAGGGGGTCCTGTCCCGACAAGCTAGCTTGGCGTGCTAACCGTCGGCGGAGGCTCTTTACGGTGAAGCGGGCACAATCCCCGCACGAGCCGGGGTTGTCAATAGCCTCCTGGGCGTGTTCCAGCCCGAGGCAGGACGAGCAGACCTGGTGTGAGTCTGTGCCTGATATTTTCAACCCGCAGCCGCAGAGCCGAGCCTCCGAGTCCCTGACTCCTCTGGTGTGAGGGAGAGAGGCGTCCATCTTGTTCGCCGCGTGGCGTGGAGAGGACCCGCTCGTAACAGGTACGTAGCCTCGCTACCGTGGTGTCGGTAGTGAGGGAAAGCAAGCTAGCAACAGGTGTGTTGCTAGCTTGAAAAAATCAAAACCTTACCTTAATTTCCGAGGAAAGAAACGGCGAGGTCGATTGTAATACTAACTGGTGTGTTAGCATTAACAGTCTTCTTGCGAAGCAGAAGAGTAGCCGGCGAGCGCCCGTCGACCGAAAGTTAGCTTTGGGTTCAGTCTGTGGACTGTTAAGCTAGCCCGGCTACCATCGAGATGTGCTCAGAAGCGAGAAGAGGTGTTTGAATGACGCATGCGACGTAGCGCAAGCTACTTATAGGGGGTGGATTCCCTGACGCTGACATCAAGATCACCAGCCAATCAGGATTGGCGTAATGAGATTGATGCTTCTGTTTGCTCCGCGATGAGGCGCATCCCATAGTGAGACATCGAACGGAGTGTTATGAATGAGAACTGCACATACACACAAACTGCTCTTAACTCAGGTTCATGCCTTCTCATTTGATTGGATTCAGATGTAAACAAAGCACCCATGGTGTACATCTGTCTAAACCTCAAAGACTTTAGGAATCAATGCATAAAGGTTGAGAAATTGTTTTATTTCATCACTTCTGGATGTGGGCCACAGAGCTGTTCCCTAATACAAACGCATACTTCCAGCCCATAAACCTGTCAAAACGCCTTGTCTCTGTCTTAAATTATTAAAGGAGCGGCGTGACTTGCGCTCAGAGAAATGGATTCTGGCATTGAGCAGCGACACAGAGTGCTTTCAGACTGTAGTGATTGCATCAAAGTATATTAAAGGGGCTGCTGAGGATTGAGTTTCTGGTTGTGTTGCTCTGACATTGTGTGTGTGTGTGTGTGTGTGTGTGTGTGTGTGTGTGTGTGTGTGTGTGTGTGTGTGTGTGTGTGTGTGTGTGTGTGTGTGTGTGTGTGTGTGTGTGTGTGTGTGTGTGTGTGTGTGTGTGTGTGTGTGTGTGTGTGTGTGTGTGTGTGTGTGTGTGTGTGTGTGTGTGTGTGTGTGTGTGTGTGTGTGTGTGTAGGCGCCCAGCTCCATCATCTTACACAGGTGGGATTGTCCAGTCGGATGAATGGTTACCCAGCGGGGGTCAGGCCCGCTCCAGGACAGGACGGAGGCCTCGGCTGGAACCATTACCATGGCGACAATTACTCCAGGGCAGAGCCTGAGAAAGATTCAGTGAGTACATCACAAATGTGTTTCTGTTAATACCGAGGTCTTGTCTTCTATCCATATCATACTGAAATAAAATGTTTGTTTAATGTCAACAACTCCCAGAAAAAGCTGAAAAATCAACAGTGAACTGTTCCTAAGAACTATTGTTGTCTATGTACTCAACGTCTGTGTATAGCTTATTCCTCTGTGCCGTAAAACCTCCATGTTTGTTCAGAAATATGACAAACACAGCAAGTCTCACTGTTGCACTGCGGCCATTTGTTTTACCATGAACATAATTACTGTAGTCTATTTTAAGTCAATCCCACATACATTGCCCTATTAATGTAAATTCTCTAGAGCACCAAATGTGTATCACTCCACTAAAGAAAGTAGTCCTGAACAATTGCTCTATCAGTTTTAAGTAGTGTTTAAAAACTGTAAAACCCATTAATTTTAGGAAATAATGAAGCTTTTATGAACATTTTGATTTGAGTGTTTAACCCCATTAAATAAATAAGGGGAAGAAAGTTTGAAGTGTCTGTTTTTTAAAGTCTATTCTTCTAGTTCTCTCTTCTCTCACACTCTCTGGTTCTGTCTCTTGATATTTTCTTCTTCAATTTCCCCTCTTTCTCTTCTCTTCATCCTTCCTTCCTCACCTTCAGTTCCTGGACTGTCCTGACTACACGTCCTGCTCTATCTTCCAGACGCCCAGAGGTGGTATCAGGGAGCCCTCGGCGCCCCCTGCCCACCTGGACATCTCGGGGACGGGCTACCTGTCAGCGCCCCTGGATACATCTCCTCCTAACCACTCCTCCGCCTCCCTGATCAAGGCCATCAGGGAGGAGCTGCTGCGCCTCTCCCAGAAGCAGGCCGCCGCGCCCAGCTACCACAGCTGAGCCTCTCGTCTGCAGCTCCACCAGTCATGCCACTGACCCCCCCCCCTCCCAGCCTGCTCCGCCTCACCTGACAATACTTCCCATGGAAGTTCCCGAGGGTGTACAGCAGAGAGATAGTCCTGCTAAACTGAAATAGGGATTTCTCACTGAAGAACTGAATGACAGGATTGTTGACACAGCTCCTAAAGAGATAGGCCTACAGAATCAGATAAACTACAGTATGTCAAATCAGAGACAGTGTTATGAAGTGAACAATATGCTGGAACTTTCAAATGAGATGGCGTGTGTGTCCTGCTCCTGATCATGTCGAGTCCTGGCCTCTGTGGATCCACATCCTGGACTTTGTTCAGATGTTGCCTAATTCCTTCTGTCACAGTTTCGTTCTCATGCTGCCTTCACTATACAGGATAACCCTTAAGACAGTGGTTCCCAAACCTTTTTTCTATCATTGAGTATTCTGACGACCCCTGACTAAGTGACATATAGTATTTTGGACATTTCAAGTTATATTAATCACGCATAATAATTACAGTATGGAACAATTGTACAATTAGTTAAAAGTGAAAGCAATATCAGCAGGAAGTGAGTGTTGAACAAGTGTGAATATTGCCTCCGAGATGAGTTTTCCTGCTGGTTTTAGGAATGTTTAATACAATTCTCTGTATTGTGTATTTCTTGGAATCATGCATACTTGGTTAGCTTCCTTTTTTTGGACAAATTCAGTATTTTCTTAGTCCCTGGTTGTTTTAACTGCCTAGTTTATTCATGAATTACGCTGTTTAGCAGAGGAAGAGGAAAGGCACATTTAACAATAACAATTAGATTTATTTTTGGCACAGAAATGAATGAAAAGCAGAGATACAGGCCAACTGTAGTTGAATTTAAAGTTGCTTTGTTAAGCTTTGGCGACCCCTAGTGGGGGACCCATGCCCAAAGACACAGTGTCATTTGAAGGATTTCTTTCTTTTCTTAACCTACCATACAGGTATTTTGTTGTTTACCAAATGTAGGTCCTTAACCTCTTTATCACCATCGTGTACTACTTCCTGATTTCTGCCACAATGAGCCATTCTATGCCTTGACACTGTGATGTAGTTCAACTACTGTATGATCTACTGTAGGGTCAGAGATCACAGCCAGTTCAGACAGGGCGCCTATAGAGACTAATGACACTCAGTAACACTATGTCGTTTTTACATACTTACTACAGTAGCACGATAGCAGTAGAGTTAGTCTGAGGTGATCTTTTTGGACTTACAGTACATAACTAGTTTGTTGTGAACAGCTTTCAATCATGTTCCTTGCTTTTATTTATACTTAACAGCTACACAAACATGGAAAGAAATGGCGTTGAATTTGGAGCTACAGGCACACGTGTAACACATCATGAATATAGACTTTCAGTATGTATCGACTGTTAGGGTGTAATGATGTATTTGGTTGTAGTTGGATGCACTGTATGCAGACTACTGGGTACAGCTCAGGTTGTTCAAATTGAGATTTGCTTGCAGACAAATCAGCGACGGAACACTTTGAAGAGTCACATTGAAGAACTGTTAATGAGGGACTTTCACAGAGACTTGTGGTGTGTTTTTACATGAACCTGTTTTTACTATTTACTGAACCACATCTCTGGTTCATGCAGTATTTAACGTTTGCCTTTTTGTTAGCACAGGAAGTGTACTGTGTTTGTTTTCATGTATAGTTTACTTCAACCAGTCCTGTTTATGTGCTCTTCAAATTTCTTTGGATTCTTTGACCTTGCCTCATGCCATTTTGTTCACCTCAAATGTCTCTTAGTCATCGTACTGGTTGGAAATAGTTACGTTTTCTTTTTTTACAAAACCCTCCCCTGACATGTTGTGATGTTTTGGGGCTTGAAGTGATATTTTATTTAAATAAAATGATGGAAATGATGGATTTTAAAAGCAGGGCTTTTTTCTTTTTTCAAAGTGTGTACCAGTACTTTGTGCTCGATTACAATTCTTCTGGCATGACTTGAAATACTCTACAGTTTTCTACTTCCCATCCTTTTTTTGTTTGAAATGTGATGTGCCTTTTGGACTCATCTTCACAGAATAAGTACATCATTTATTTCCCCACATACTTTCCAAGGTCTTGTGATCACCAGCCTTGATTACATTTGATTTTAAATACATTAAGATAACATTTCATCCATTTACATTTTCCGTGTATGGAGTTTCCTCTGATATGCAGGGAGATGGACTGTTTTTCATTTCACCTCTTCTGTTTGATGTCACCAACCTCACACTGTATGCATCCACCTGCTGGTTCTGTACTGTAACAACAGCTCCTTCACTTGTTCTTTTTTTATAACTATTATTTTTGTTGGTGTTGTTTTTTCATCTATTTCTACATTGTGTATATTGTGAGTGGTATCTGTTGGCTGGCCCAACTTCACGTCTGATTGATGTTGCATGCTTATTATGGTTTGTTTTGCCGCATGCCGTTCCAAAAGGTCTTGAAATACAAAAGAAACTTGTCACCTGACATGTCCTCTGATTTTAAGTTCATTACTACAAGTCGATGTGATGTTGATTTCTATTTGTTATTAATTTGTTCCCACACATCATCATTACATTTGTTTGTTGACCACCAGCATATTGTAATGAATTGATTAGTATATTGATTTGAAGCCTAATAGTTCAAAGACGTCATGCACACATCATATTTCAGGTCAGCCATTCATTCTGTAACAAAGCACAATTGCAGGTGTTGTACTTACCACAAACAACCAGAAGGTGTCACTACAACACAAGAAAATCCACTTGATTCACAACAAAGACGGCTCCTTTGGCTGCGGATGATGTCACCTGATCTCCTGAGCATCTCTCTGTAAGGCTCTGAAAACACATTATTATAAGTACTGTTTCTCACTAATACAGGAGCTGTGATCATTTCTCAGAATAATGAAGGGTAATATGTTTCGTTTTATTTATTTTAAATAGTGTTTGGCGGGTGAATGATTCCATGTTGATCAGTAATGCTTCTGTTATATTGGGTATGATATGGTGTGTTTCTTATGATAATTAGTCAGAAAATGCAAAAATAGGAACAGTTAGATGGCAATAACACACATTATACATGTAAATAAATAAGCATGTTAAGTGAAATGTGCTCTGTTACCGAACACAAGGCAGTATTTCCCCCAAACTAAGACACTTTGTTGTCAATCAATGTGATTCGAAGTCCTGTATTGAGTGTATGCTTCCCTCCCTACTGCTGAAGGAATACTTCCTGTTTCTCTATTGAGTTCTATCTCATCCCATCAGACACATCTCCCCTCTAATCCCATCACAGGATCCAAAGCCACTGAATGTAGCAGCTAAACGGTCAGCAAAGCTCCTCCGCTCACTCTGCAGGGGGGGGGGGGGCATGACAGTGCACTGCTTTTCACTTCCTGATTGTGTTTATATTGCCTTTAAATCAGAGAGCTTAATCTGGTGTGTGTTTAAACGACGAGAACTGTCAGTGCTAAGCTATTTCACTCTGGTTTCTTCATGAGAATCCTGCGTGTGGGTCCTAAAGCTAAAGATGCAATTTAACATTGTTTTTACATATTATAATCTATGGTAAATCAGTGTAATTCCATAGTGAGCATCTTTGATACCAGGCTTTATCATCCCTTATAGAAATTCTGCAAATGTAAACTACATTTAATTGATTTATTGCACTCTGTATACCATAAATGTTTCTTAAATGTGACGTGCCGTGTTGTGTCTGTCCAGATGCACTCTTGCTGTTAGCTCAGTGTCTTTTTCTCATTCTGTCTTTATTGTGTCTCCTGCAGGGCTTAAGAGTTTGCCATCCTGCCTGTCTGCCTGCCCCTCCTTGTGGGGTCTAACATCCCCTCCCACACACACACACACACACACACACACACACACACACACACACACACACACACACACACACACACACACACACACACACACACACACAGTAATCCTGTCTGTGTGTTGTCCCGGCCCAGCGTAGCACAACAAGAGCACACCCAGGAGTTAATCTGGATCATGAAGGCAATTACTGTCCGGGTGTCCTGCCTCAGAAGGGTGGAGAGGGGGGGGGGGCACCTGTCCAGTGAGGGAGGAGTCAAGAAGGCTGCTCTAACCACTGACCTTGAAGAAAACTCTGAGGGAGGGGGGAGGGAGGGAGGAGAGAAACAGAGTGGGAGGCAGAGCAGATCCAGGCTTTAGCATACTGACAGAGTTCCAGCACTGCAGATCTCTCTCTCTTTCTCTCTCTCTTTCTCTATCTCTCTCTCTATCACTCTCTCTCTCTGTCTTCAGCCACTCTTGTTTTTTAGTCTGCCGCTGAAAGACAGGAAGACAAGGGAGAGCAGGGGGGAGGACAAGTGTGGAACAACATCTTTTGACTGATGAGAAAGGAGGATATCTGCCTGATCCCTGCACAGAATTCAGAAGTGAGTAGACTGCAATTGTGTGTGTGTGTGTGTGTGTGTGTGTGTGTGTGTGTGTGTGTGTGTGTGTGTGTGTGTGTGTGTGTGTGTGTGTGTGTGTGTGTGTGTGTGTGTGTGTGTGTGTGTGTGTGTGTGTGTGTGTGTGTGTCAACCACAGCACATGTTGTACCTTGAGCTGCCTGTCAGAAAAATACATTCCTGTGGGTTGATGACGAATGAATGAATGAGCAAGTATTCCAGCGACATGCGGTGGCGTTACAGCTGTAACACTTTGGTGTCAGTGGCAGGATGTGGTCCTCCTTGTTTACCAGCATGGCTTTTGTATTATGCAACGCTATGCATGCCGCACCGTTGCACAGCCCCAGAGTCGCTGCTTGTGAATCGATGTGAGCAGGATTGGTTGGCTCACAGAAACACTGCAGCAGCTGAGCATCCTCTGCTGCATCCAGCTATGGGCCAACTGGCACCGCTGTCACCGAGGGAGGTCACTTCTCCCTCCCAGAGGCTCAGCTGTGTGGACATTATAACAGGGGGTTGCAGTTTAAACAGCACTTTACTCATCTCATTTCCGCTGTTCTATCATCTTTTCCCTTTTTTTCCCGACCACTTGTCCACTGGTGATGACGTCACTGCATCTCATTTTACCGTCTAAACAGACCCCCCCCCCCCACTCCCTCTCCTCTCTCCCCTCTCCCATTACCATCTCCTTTGCTCCTTCTCTCAGTGCAGTACACTGCAATTGGGTCATTTACTCATCTCTCCTTCTGACGTAGGCGTCAAGGAACATAGTGAGAAGGGGGGATACAGGGGTGTGAGAACTTGATTTCTGAGCAGTAACAAAAGGTTGTGAGGTACATGTTGCCCACATGTGTATGCCAGGAGCAAACACTTCTGACGTAACAGAGAGGAGGAGTGGACCCCCAGCGTCCTCTGTTTTCATAACAGATGAGCAGAGGAGGCAGGAGTGAAGGTTAAAGAAGGCTAGAGAAAGAATATGATGGGGTGTTTGGTTTGGCCAGTGGCTGGTGCTGCCCTACTTGCTGCTGCATGACACAGAACTATGTTTTCCCTAAGGTGAGAAGAACCAAAAAAGTAAGGACATTTATCATGGATGGAGTATTTATAGATTTTTCCCAAATCAAGTCATTTTAAAATTACGGTTATTTTTTGATTTTCTTTTGTTTTTGTTGAAGTGATTTGCCTCATTTAGAAGTAATGGGATTGTTCAAAAGTAATTTTGCAGATTATATAATTGAATTAAATGTAAGGTACATTTTTAAAAAATATGACATTTTTCAAAAGTGAGACCTTTTTAAAAAAAATCTTTTTAAATAGGACCGTTTTGAAAAGATTATTCAAAAGAAAATCAAGGTAGGTCGATTACACAAACTCTCTCTCCTGTCGCCAGCGGTGATCTCTGTCCTCATGGTCACAGTTTGTCCCCCCCCCCAGGCTCTACTGTACCAGGGGACACAGAGACATATTGTGCTGCACTGTGTGAAGGAGGCAGCTCTCATGTGATGGGGAGGTGAATAGCTGTCATTCATAAGAGGCTGTCCGTTTGCTCGGCAGCTGACCGCCGCTCTGACTTCAGACACTGATCCTGCAGTCAGCTGCTGTCGGCCCCCCCCCCCCCCCCCTGGTTACAGGGTCGAGCATCAGACATGTTTTATGTGCTGCGATAAGAGGTGTGGTGGAGTGGGGTTAAATCTAATTGAATGAATATCACATCTAAGTAGAGATGCTAACCAATGTGGTTTTTCATGTTGTTTAGCCTTTGGTCCTTTCATCAAACTTTTCTTGAAATGTTTTTGGTATCTGATATGGACAGAACCCAGAGATATATGAGGACGCTTCATTATCTTCGCCTAGTGTGAGCCTGTGTGGAAATAATGTGTTTTGTAGTGTGTGTATTTACTTGCACATTCTACTGGAATCGTCAGCCTATTCTTTTTTTTAACTTTTGGTATAATTGTATGCTCAAGGACCTCTCGTGGTTGCAGTGATTCCAAACTTGTTTTACTGTCCATTTACTGCTTACTCTTTACTCCATTTAAACAGCCAGTAGAGGCCACATGTTATTTAAAACCTGCTTTCGCAGCAATATGCATTTCCAGGAATTAGCAAGGCTAAAAACAAGCGTTAGCCTGTTGGAGGCCACATGTTGGCTTTTGTTGTAGCTCAACAACTGACATACAATAGAAAAGTTAGGTCTCATTAGATTCATTCCATACCCAAGATGGTATGATCCACTAGATCAATACATATGTGTTATAGTTATTTCACCGCCATCTTGACTGTAGGGAAGCCAGGAGGGACAATTTAGTGAGACTCAATACGTGGACATTTTTCCTTTAGTAGAATGTACTAATAAAAAAGATGTAGAAAGTGGTAATGAGGTGTACAAACGGCTCCATTTAAGCAAAAGACTACCCTGTATGTAGCTCAGTGGCAGAGGTATTTTGTTAAACTTTCTAGAGCTGCCCG